ATCTTTTTGATATATTTTTGTATTCAATTTGCCAGAATTTTATTGAGAATTTTTGTATCTATGTTCATTAGAGATATTGGTCTAAAGTTTTCTGTCTTTGATGTGTCTTTGCCTGCTTTTGGAATCAGGGTGATATTGGCCACATAGAATGAGTTTGGAAGTGTTCCCTCTTTTTCTATTTCCTGAAATAAATTGAAGAGGATTGATATTAGTTCTTCTTTAAAGGTCTTATAGAACTTGGCTATGTATTCATCTGGTCCTGGGTTTTTCTTGGTTGGTAGGCTTCTGATGGTGTCTTCTATTTCATTGCTTGAAATTGATCTGTTTAAATTGTATATATCATCCTAATTCAATTTGGGCAAATAATATGACTAGAAATTTGTTAATGCCTTTGATATTTTCTATTTTGTTGGAGTACAAGTTTTCAAAATAATTTCTAATTATCTTCTGTATTTCTCTAGTGTCAGTTGTGATATTTCCTTTTTTATCACATATGTTAGTAATTTCAGTTTTCTCTCTCCTTCTCTTCATTAGCATGGCTAAGGGCCTGTCAACTTTATTTTTTCAAAGAACCAACTTTTTGTTTTGTCATTTTTTTCAATAGTTTCTTTTGTTTCAATTTCTTTGATTTCAGCTCTGATTTTAATTATTTCCTGTCTTTTACTGCTTTGGGGGTTAATTTTTTCTTCTCTTTCTAGGATTTTGAGATGTAATGTTAGGTCATTTATTTGTTGACTTTTTCTTCTCTGAAGGAATGAACTCCATGCAATGAACTTTCCTCTTAGAACTGCCTTCATAGTGTCCCAGAGATTTTGGTATGTTGTTTTCACTGTTCTCATTTATCTCTAAGAATTTTTTAATCTCTTTCTTGATATTTTTGCAGCCCATTGTTCATTCAATAGCATATTATTCAGTCTCCAGTTGTTGGAGTAGCTTTTATTCTTTATTTTGTCATTGATTTCTAATTTCATTCCATTGTGCCGGATAGAATGGAGAGCAGTATCTCTACTTTTTGTATTTACTAAGATTTGCTTTGTGTCGTAACAAAAGGTCTATTTTAGTGAAGGATTCATGTGATGCTGAGAAGAAAATGTTGCGATCTATTTGACTCTTGGAACTTGAGAAGAGTTTGACTGATGAACGTAAATTCTCCATTGTTTGGGGTGTATATATTTATAACTATTATGTCTTGTCGATGTATGATTCCCTTAAGCGGTATGGAATGTCCACCTTTATTCCTTTTGATTAACTCTCACTTAAAGTCTACTTTATTTGATATGAGAAGGGAAACCCCTGCTTGCTTATGTAGACCATGTGAATGGTATATTTTATCCCAACCTTCACCTTCAGTCCGTGGGCATCTTTTCTTACTAGACGTGTCTCTGGAATGAAGCAGATGTTGGGTCTTTTTTTAATCCAATCTACCAGCCTATGTCCTTTGATTGGTGAGTTTAAACCATTAACATTCAGGGTTATTATTAAGATATGATTTGTATTATCGGTGATTTTTGTTTATTTTTGGTATTTAGCCTGACTTGGCTTCTCCTTTGGTTGGCTTTTCTTTTAATGTAGTTCTTCCCTTTGTAGATTTTCATTGTTTTCATTCCCTCCTCATGGAATATTTTGCCAACAATGTTCTCTAGTGCAGGCTTTCTTGCTGTAAATTCTTTTAGCTTTTGTTTATCATGGAAGGCTTTTTTTTCTTTTTCTTTTTTTTTTCAACATTTTATTTTTTTTATTTTGTATTTATTTTTATTTATTTTTTATTTTTTATTGGTTGTTCACAACATTACAAAGCTCTTGACATATCATATTTCATACATTAGATTGAAGTGGGTTATGAACTCCCAATTTTACCCCAAA